GCCGCGGGAACCGACCCGGGCCGGAGCTATAATGCAGACTTAAGCCCCTGACACGCGCCGGATGACTCTTCCTCCTCGGGGACCCTCTCCCCCCCCCCCCACTCTTCCCCATTTCCCTTCCGGGGCAAGTCTCGCGGTAGGAGGTCGCCGTGTGGGACCTCTCACCTGCTCACACACGCGTTTCGCCTTTCCCTATTCCACTGATGACACAAGTCGCCCAAAGGAATCGCGATTCGCCGTAAACCCTCCGACACATTTTCTTTTGCTTTTCGATACGCGCGTGTTGCAGTAGTCCAAGTTGAACTGCTCGCGCGGGAGCGTTGAACAACAAATAACGACACACACGTCGTGACGCACATCGTTCTTATTTCACCACACGCGGGGGCCAGGAGGGGGCGTGAGGTGAGTGAGGGCCGCCGTCGTGGGAGAAAGGGGACGACGACGACGACGTCGCCCGCGAGTGTCCCGAACGACATCGCAATGCAGTGCAGGCCACACACAAAGGCGGCGCGCGGGAGACGCGACACGACCCGACGCGGGACGGGACGGTGACGGGACGGGACGGTGACGGGACGGGACGGCGGCGAGGAGGAGACGCGCGACCTGCCCCGCGTTGTAATGACACCGCCAGACACGTGCCCCGCTGGGTGACAAGTGACGAGACGAGACGTCACACAAGGCAAGTATCACGTCGTCAAAAAAAGGGACACTTTTAAACACTTATTGTGACGACGTTTGTCATAGTTTCGGTAGATTTACGCACACGAGTTGTGCTGGATAGATTTTTGATATAAATTTAAACCGAGACAAGGAATCCACTCTTCCAGCGTTTTATTTCAGCACTTTGCCCGACCGTTTGGGGGGTTTTACCTGGATATCGCTGCCCCAGAAAGCGCCGGGCTGATCGGAGCAGCTGACCAATAGACCAATGAGGCACTTCTAACTGTAATTTTGATTTTTGACTCACTCCCGGACGTAGACAATTAATTAATACTCACCAGGACGACCTTCATGTTGAAGCGTGGAGAGGGGACAAGGAGAAGGCGAGGTGAAGGGTTCGAACGCTGCACTCGTACAGGACGCTGAACCGAGCCGTCTGCTCTCTTATACTCCTGGCCCCCTCCTCCCCCTCCCTCCTCCTTCCAGACGCGCCCTCTCCTCTCTCTCCCTCGCTCACTCCCTTCTCCCACCCCCCGTCCGCTGGGAGGTCTAGTTTGGCTAACCATTATGACCACCACCACCACCACTGCCACCACCACCACTGCCACCACCACCACTACCACCGCCTGCACTACCACTGCAACCAAAACCATGCCACCACTCCCACTATTTTCCTTTCTGTTTCGGCTTCATATGTCATGGTCGATAATTAGAACCAGTTCCTCAGGTGCACTCCAGTCCAAAAAAATGACATGCGAAACGAAATCGTGTCTCAATGTCGATTCGACAGGAGGGGACATCGTTCCGACAACGCCGTTTGTCACATTTTCATACGTCTCACTCTGGGACTTCCCCGGGCGCGCTCGACTGGTGCGCCAAAGCTGTCTCGCCGTCACTGCATGGGGGGGGTTGGTGTCGGGCGCTCACCCTCCAGGAAGGGCAGGAAGTCTTTAGAGTGGCAGAGCGGAGGGGTGGGGTGGGGTGGAGCGGCCTAGGAGCGGTGCCTTACTCCTTACCGCCTTGATGCAATGCGGGAACGTGAACGCATACAGGTGGGTAATGGGCACTGAGGGCAATTAATCGCTTCAGAGTCAGCAGCCGTCGGCACCAGGCCGGGGAGGGGATAGGGAAAAAGGAGGGGGGGGGGTGAATCAACGCTCATGTGGTCAGCGGCGGTGCACTCGGCGGAAGCCCCGGTTACATCGGTTTCATCCGCCACGGCACAGAGCTGGCGGCTGCTGGCGGTTGACTGGTGTGGGCGCCTGCTCCGCCGTCGCGACGCTGCTGGGGGGCGACGGTTAGCGAAGCCAAGCGAGCTGGTGGTCACGCCGGGTATGACGCTAGGGGTCAATACGACGGCAGACTGGCGGGCGGGTTGCCTGCTCGCTAGGTGCTATGCTTGTCCAGAGCGCCGCCGGTGCCATAGTCTGGGTAAACCACGTTTGAAGAGGCTTGGGCATTGGGCATCGGATGTGCTTTCGTCAAAATGATGCGATTCGTAGTCGTGCTTCGGACTTGATTGAGACCAATCACGTCAATATGGCGTCATAGTGACCTTCCCGCGACACCCGAGGATCGTGCGACAACTCTCGCTGCAATATGCATGAGCTGACTGCACCGCGGGCGGGGCGCCACGGTGGTGTGACGGGGCAGCCGTGTCGCAGCGCGGTGTGACACTGCGGCGGTGTGACACTGTGACAAGTGCGTGGGGCCGGCCGGGGCCGGGGAGGCTCCCACAGAACAGCCGGGAACCCCACAGCCGCCACACGAAACCTTGATGGTGTAGGCGTTCCACTCCCTCCAACAAATAAAAGTGTGTGATATTAAAATGTGCGTGACAATAGGTGCATGTGTGCATGCTCAAATGCCCCATGTGTCGCCAGACGCTCCTATCGTGGGAAATTTCACGTTTTCTCCTTCTGGCAGAGACAGTCTTAGAGACTTGACTGTCTAAAATGTCCAAAGAGGACGCAAGTATAGTTAGTAGTGCACACGACGCGATCCTCTGTCTCTCTCAGTCTCGTCCGAGGTGCAGCCCGGCCGGCATTACGTCTGGCCGTCAAAGTGTAAAGCGGTCGTCATCGTGTACGCCGCGTCCGGTCCAGGAGCCGCCGCGCCTGCTGTGCTGAGCTGAGATCGCAAATATATCGCCAGTTGCTGGCTGCCGTTCGCCGTTGACGTCACGAGGCGGAGTTACGCCCTCCGGGGGGAGGGGTGGTGGGGGGAAGGAGGCGGTCTCCTCCTCACCGTGACTATGGGTGCCATAGACACCTCATTAACGTCCTTCTTCAATCGAATCCTGCGGGTCCTGCCAGTAGTAGTCGCGGCCCAGTCGTCCCACCGAGACTGCCGCCTGCCTCGGGCCAGGAAGGCCCTGCTGCGACACGGCCGGCAGTGTCCAGCACAATAAAGCGCGCGTAATAGTTTTCCATTATCAAACCGAAAGAAACACAAGCACGCCTTCCCACGTACTACATACAGTACTTGCAGACTGGGCGCGCGGCGTCCCGGGCCGGTGGGTGCGCGGGCGGGGGAAGTCCACCTCGACCACGTCATCGGCGGCCGCGGGGGGGCGCGGGAGAGGAGCGAGCGGGGAGGAACAGAGAGGCCGCCGCCGCTGACCCAGGCCGCGGTGCGAATGGAGGGCAAACTTGTCTGCTTGCTACTAAAAAGTCGCACAATTACGCGGAAGCGGACCAGTTATTCGGCTCCTTCGGCTTTTACTGCGCGGGGCGTTGTGACGGCGCGGCGCGGCACAAGTAGTGAATGTGCCAACAGCTCCCGTCCCGCGCCCCCGGCTTCCAAGAAGAGCGCCGCTAGCTCAATAGAATCAAATCACTTTTCGTTTTTGTAACAGAACTTTTATTTTTCTTGAAGAGACGCTGATTCGTTTTTATGCAATTCAAGTACAAGACACACAAAGTTTGTGCTCTGCACATGAACGGAACTTGTCACACAGACAAATTATAAACTTAGAATAGAAGTGCATGGCCTTCAGAGGCCAACTGCAATTAAAGGGGGGGGGGGGGAACTGTACAAACAAAACAATCATTGAGAAGGGAATAATGGAAAATCACTGACTAAGCGACATATTGTACATGACTAACAAAAAGACTTCCACACTTCTCATTACTTATAATCTAGAATATTTCAATCACAAATTCGTTTGTAGCCATTTATACATACACACACCTTATTTTTAAAGATGGTGAGAAAAATAAAACATGAACTGTTCATGAATCAACAACTTGTACACTTTCCCAAAATAATTTTTAAGAGCGAAATTGTGAGTTTCACTAGATATGAATTTTTGTAAAAGGTAGCTTTGATTTTCCAGATGAAGACACAACCATCCAAGTTTTTCAGAAGGCCTGTGCAACTCTCCTTTGGGTTTGTCCCGACTCTAAGTGGTACAAAAAATCTAAAGGAAAGGATCTCCCATATCTTAAGTTTTAGTGTGGGGGGAAAAAAAATTCCAAACTGATAGGTTGGCTCTTTTACAATGGGGAAGTATTTAAACAGAATATTCAAAACACTCTTACCACCAGGGCATTTAGACATTTAAGTGGGGTGAAGAGCAAAGCAAAATGCGCAACATGCATGGCTTTCCATTTTGACAATTCCTTATCACAGCATAACATGAACAGTCTCAGCTTCTGGGCCTATCATAGAAAATAGAGAAATAAAGCTATATATTTTTGACACATAGAAATATTTGATAAGCTTGCAACATAAGCAATTCTCTAGTAAAAAGATTACTAATTTATCTCTGTAATCTAAATTTGGTTAACTACAAGTGCAAGATATTGGGAAAAGAAAAAGTCTACGCCTTATCTACCTAAGTGCACGTAGAAAGACCTAACAGACAAAACAATGAGAAAGGAGGAAACTGCTGAATCAACAATACAGCACAAGTCTGATGCAAGCATCTGTTCATATCACATAAATAAAATCTGTGGCACAAAGCTCCTGAGATACGCCACCACCAGAGAATTCAATACTCTCCTATGGAGGGTGGCACTGACATTAAACTTTCAAGTTGTTACTCATTCTAAATATAGCCAGACAGCTGTAGAAATACTTGAAGAAAGTGCTAGTGAAGGACTTAAAAGATCCCACCAAAAAAATAATTAAAAATCAATTGGACCTCAGTAACATAATAGTGCAAGCTAACATTAAGTTGCTCTGTCTTGCACATAACACATGTACCCAAATCGACTTTCTAGAGTGACATTGCTGTTGCAGCTCAAAAAAGATATAGTAATATTATATGAACATGCCAAAGCTCAAGTCAAAGCTTCATGACTATGGTAGTTACCCAGCGCCAATTCTAGTTCACATACAGCTCAAGATGTAAAAAGAAAAACAATTACAAATCAACAAGAACAAGCGAGGGAATTTCTTTTAAACTAAACCAAATGACCAAATGCTCAACCTGGGAGAGGAGAGAAGACAGTAGAATATTAGTTAGTAAATCTAGAAATGTCAGAAAACATATAGTTGTAGGGATATCATAAACCCTTCAGTTCCCTCAGACTGTGTGACTACTTGAACAACTCTGGTGCGATAAATATATAGAAAGGGTTTCAGTCAACATGGATTAAAAAGGCCTTGCCTCAACACAAACTATAACATGTATCTAAAAGCACTACAAATAGTTAATAAAATTATACTCCTCTCCAGGATATAAGCAGAAGCCACATTTACTAACATCAAATCACAGACTCATCTGATGATTATAATCAAGGTTGCATATTGCTTTTTAAAGTGGACATATCAACCAAGAATCATCAATTCAGTACCCCTTTACATAATTTATTGTTAGAAATATATTACACATCATCAAAACTCAAAATGCTGATTTACCTTTTAAGTTTAAGCAAAGGATTAAAAAATATGTGTGATGTTCTGAACTTATTGAACACAAATGATAATTTTGAGGTTGTAAGCCCAATATAGAAAAATAAAGCAACTTTTCCATATAATCACAAACTTGTTACAGTATTAATTCAACCGAGACCTGCCTGTCAACATTTTGACGTCAAATATGAAAGAAATCATCCAAAATACACAAGTTTGTACCATTGTGTTGCAAATAGAACCATAGAAAGTGTTAAGAAATTATACTCAATGCAACTAGGTATGTGCAATGCAGATACAAGGAAGAAGTTAAATAAAAGATGGGCCTTAGCAAGCAGTTAAACGTTTAAGACCAAGTTGTTTGAGATTCAAAATCATGATAAAAAAAAGAAAACAGTAGAAAGTGTAACCTTGATTAGACAATTACTTTCTGCACTGACATAGCAAATTAGCTGCTGCTTTAATACTGACAGTTTATGTGCAACAAGTTGGTGAGAGCTCAATGAGATGCCAAGTGGAAACTGTTGATTGATTTCTATGATGCCTTCAGAAAATACAACATGAACACGAAAGAGAACACACCATTTCTCTTTCTGTAACAAAAGTATCTTTTTAAGATATAATGTTGAGTAACAAGACAATTGAATTAAACCATTAAATTTAGTTATAACTAAATAGTTGCAGGCTCTGCAATGCATTAACATACATCCTTCAATCTTTTGTTGATGTAGATTTGTGTCGTCTTGGGTCATAGTTGACAAGTCTTCTGCCTACTAAGTACTTGCTGTCTTTAATATGATTATACAATTTCCGGAATTGTCGTATCTGTAAAAGTTAGTAAAATTTATTGAGAGAAATGTTCCAAAAGAAAAGAAAAGCAATCACCTCGCAAAAACTGACCTGGAAACAGACAAAAGCTGCAACTATCCCCACCAGAAGAACAAAAGGATAGATGCGCCTTGCAATTAAATTTCGCATATGCGGGGACTGAACAAACAGTGGCACAATCTGGAAGGAAAAAATAATTAAACGTTAAAAAAATATGATTAAATACTACCTTTTGTAAAAGAAAGTGTCAATAGGTATCTTACCCCATGAGCAGTTGCATATGGAATGGACAAAGCTAGCCCAAAGAAAAACACAAGAGGTGCAGCTAAGTCATTCAAGATGAAACGAAGATCCATATTACGAATGCCATCTCTGTAAGCTCTTTCGATTGTTCTTCTGAGGAACCACTCTGGCCCCATCATTGCGATGGCACATGCTATTTTGGTGTATAGTACACCAAGGGCCCAGTCTTGCCACATGAAGAGAACAGCACTCTGCTCTAGAGACACGCGTAACGGTACAACAACTACTAGTTCCAAAAGAAGACCAAAGAGCAGAGGTACTAGGCCAAGTAATACAGAGAATGCAACCGCTGCTCTTACACTCCACACAAACCACTGCTTCACCCTCGCAATCATGGCAGCTCGTCCTGCAAGACAGCACACAGATAAACTTATTAAAGTTCTACAATGGATAAAAGAGGGAGAGAGAGAGGTCGTGACGTGACAAAACCACCTACCCTGAGGGAGCCAGCTGAGCATCAGCGCAAAGGCCCTCGCCCCAAGCCAACACAAGTACATGCCGCACGCCGCCGTGTAGAGCTCGTGCACTCGGCCCGAGGAGCTGGACTGGGACACGGAGCCCACCAGGCACAGGTTCATGACCCGGCGGCCCACCCACACGGGCACGGTGAGGGCGATGAGGCTGGCCAGCACCAGGGACAGCCCCATGGCCATGACGAGCGCGACCAGCCGCACCCAGAACAGCGAGGGGCGCTTGTACGGGCGGTAGCCCGTCGGGGCGTGGGGCTGGAACAGGGCGTGGTGGGCGGCGCCCAGGCCCCCAGCACCGCCCATGCCCCCCAGGCCGACACCGCCAGCACCAGCCAGGGGTGGCGCGGGGGCAGGGACGGCGGCGGCGGGCACCGCAGGGGCGACGGGGACCGCAGGGGCGGCAGCAGCCTCGTCGTCGTCTGCTGCGGCGTCCTCAGGGTCGGCATCGGGCTGCTCTGGTGCCTGCTGACCGTCAGCCTGAGCCCCTTGTTGCCCTGGCTGCGGCACCTGAGAAGGAGGCTCTTCGTCGCCTAGCAGGTAACTGTGGAGGTCTAGTGACCAGGCCATGAAGCGACACCAGAGGCCAACCAGCCACTTAAGCCAGATACGTGAATGAGACTGTTCAAGCAAGGCAGGCAAAATCACCTGTAAAGGACAAAGAAAAGAGAGTTAGATCAGACAGCTAAATAAGGTTTGGTGAATGTTATTCTGCAAACTAAAACTTACCTGAAGTAGCAACAACTCAAGCGACAGTTCATTAACTTGAGTGTCTGAATGAAGAGCTACGGTGTATGGTAAAAATGTAGGCCATGCCCATCGTAAAATACGAACTGGAACCCACAACATGAGCAAAACTGCCATTCCAAATATCACAACCGACGCAACAAGGCGACGAATATGGCGTAGAATAGGAAGGTGGATCATTTCCTGTTATCAGACCACATAATATTAATTCAGACAAGGTTCATCAAAACTTAAAGAATGAAATTATAATTATTATAAACTAAGAACAATTTTTAAAAGATTAAAATAGACCAGATCATACCTGAATAGGGCTAAAGTCAGGGTCATTTAAATTGCGAAGGAACCAGAGGACACCAGGTCGCAATACTTCCCGCAATAACAGAATAAAAGAGGCAAAATAGTACACATAAACCATGCCAACCAGCCAATGAATGAACAGATCAGTGCCAGGTGCCAGGCGGAAACTAGCTTCTCTATCCTTTAGAGTTGCATCAAACATTGAAAGGGAGCAGATGTCAAGCCACCAGCCACAGATCAAAGGTAAAATGCCTAATTCCACAACAGTCAACAAAGAAACCTGAAGAGAAAAGAAACCATTCAAAAATTAATAAAATGTTCGAAAATGAGCTTTCATAGTATTCAGTTTCTCATCTCAACAAAATTGCCTCACCTTGACAACAATGTAGCAGAGCCTGAGGAAGCGCTTAGTTCGAATGAGTCCAAACAATGATGCTAGGCCTTGAAGTATGACAAATATCATTCCAATTGCACAATATCCACAGAGAGTAGTGACAAGTCCTTCAAAGTGAGCAGCCATGGCATACTCATGAAGGCCAAGAACAACCACAGCTCCATGACCAACATGATACGGAATGTATGCAAAGAGCAGAATAAATAATGTGTTCAAAGAAACAACCCAAAACACATGCTCCAAAAATACCTGGGGTATTCAAAAACAGACATTAGTTAGCCTGGAGACAAAGACATTCCTTAAAAATCAAAACCGCAGTAGCACGTAAAGCATACCAAGGATCCATCCAAGCCAAGAAGCCTCTCCCATGTGAGGTCTTCAGCTGCCCTATCCCATTCAATAGGGTTCCAGTTAGCTTCGTCTGCAGCTGCTTCTCCAGCAGGTGCGACACCATCACCAGCAGCAGCAACTTCTCCAAAGTCCCCCTCAATAGGAGCTTCTGGAGGATTTGCAGGGCCTGGGTCCACAACTGGATCCGCTTCACCAGCATCATCCTGCTGGTGAGTACAATGACATGGGTCAGACTTATTCAACTGCTGGTAAAGTTAACAGAGGAAGCACTGAGAAGGGCATAAATGACTAACCTGTACATTCATAGCATTTTGATTGTTGTTGTCAGGAGCAGGAATACCAGGCACAACATGAGGCACAAGGGGAATGTTGACATCTTGAGCACCACCAGGGGGATTCTCAACCCAATCCAGAGCCCCACCATGTAGAATTTGTTCTCTCAGCCAAACAAGACCAATAAACGCAAGCAAGGTACAGGTAACAACAATGCCTCCGTGCAACATGTCAAGTGCCATATTTTCCACAGATAAAAGTTCCAAAACCTAGACAAAAAAAAATAAAAAAATGAAGTAACTATAATTAGTAAGGTAATGATTTTAAGGAGCTGATAACATTAAAATAAAGATCTTAAAACTTTGAAAAAAAGCTGTTTAATTACTTACAGATTGGATTGACCCACTGAACAACACACGATAAATACGACATGCTGCTATGGGAACCACTCCAATCCAAGCCAAAACAACCAATGTGGTGTGTAACCAGTAATGCACTGCAGTAGCTACACTTGTAAGAAGACCACTAACAACATCTCGGAGTGGAAGACGACGAGGCATATCAGGAGAATAAATAGGCGTAAATGAAAATCTGTAGCTGCATAGTTCACAGTACTCCTGGAAATATACAAAAAAATCAAATATTGCCATTAACTTTTAACTTCAAAGTGACTAGAAAAGTTGTTAATTTCTCACCTTCCGGCTGTATCTCATCCATTGAATTAAGCATTCCTGATGAATCCATTTGATACTTCCGGTACAAATACATGGATGAAATAAAGGTCTATCGGGCAAACCTTCTGATCTACATACTCTACAAATGTCCAACCCCTGGTTGTCATCAAAAAAATCAGCGTTGGAAGACATTTCTAAAGAAGATCTTTGACTAGAGTCTGCCACCAGTGCCGCCACTGGTGGCCCTCCGCTATTTTCCTCAATGATGGTGATGTTTAATTGTCACTTGTACGACTGAAAATATAAAGAACACCAATGAGATAAAAATGGGGTATTACAAGTGTGAAATTTTCCAAAACATTGGGTAATGGTAAAACAAACAGACAGAACGATAAGAAGTAGTTGAAAGGAATGGCAAAAAAAAAAAGAAAAAAGATTCTTGCTGAAGGTACACCAGGACAACTTAACCTCTAATAAATAAGGAAAAACAAACCAGTTTACGTAAAAGGATTTCACAAAAATCAAAATTTAAAAAATACGTAAGACATTACTGAGACTTTCCACTAGCTGTAATGACGTACATATGAGTGGTTTATAGGTATCTAGACAATGATATTTGGAAATTGATGATGATGTGATGAGACTTCAGCAAAGCAAAATGACAGGTCACTACCAAGATTATTAACAAGATGAGTTCAGATACTTACAATATTTCGGTGCACGTCTTATGAATCGTGCAAAAGTTTCTTTAAAATAAAATATATATCAAGCAGATGTACAAAAAACAGAAACAGTTTCTGACAAAAATGTCGTCAGTTGACCCGACTGCAGAAGAATCTTCATCTGTTTACACCCAGAAAGAGAAAATTGTTTTGGCTGTTTGTTCGCACTTATTCTGGTAGTAGAAAGTTCTCAAGTAAACTGCTGATGTGTGCCAATAAAATGTTTGCTCTTTATTAAATAGCTCAATTTTCATCGCCAAAACTCTGGATGTATTACTTCAACCAATTGAATCATGTACCCGCAACAATAATAAAATTTTGTATGCCACGTTGCCCCCACTATCGTCACGACACTCACCCGCCAAATTCAAAGTTGCGGACTATGGCGCTACCATCATACTCCCTCCTCCTCTATGCCGTACCGTGTGGACGTTTCACCTTTCAACCGGGAGAATAGGTTGATAGTGATTTGATTTTGAACTTAACTTTTCTTCCCCGCAACCAGCGTCCTGCCGTAGCCTCGGCATGGTAATGATAGCTCACATCGCCGGGGAAGGGCTGGGGGTTCCTCAGAAGACAGGAGGGAATTTACCTATATACATACAGGGGAAAATTGGCCAAAAATGGGAACCCAGGGCCGGAATGGTATATTTTTTTAGAGGGATTTCCCGCCTTGGCCAGTTCGCAGTGCGCCACTGCACGTCGCGCCCCCCTCCTCCAAGCAGAGTCTGAGTGCGTCCACACTCTACTTTGCTGGAGGCTGAGGCGGGGGGCCGCGGCCGCGGCGCGCGGCGCTCAGCCAGCCAAGCCCCAGCGGCACTAGTAGCTAGTAACACGTGTGGCGGCCCAGAGCTCAGTCAGTTCTGAGTCCGCTCGGCCTCGCGAGCTCGCCGCGGTGCCGGACCCGTCGCCTTGCCCGCGCCGCCACTCCCGCGACTCTCTGCCGACACACGCTCGCCCGCGGTTTGCGCTCTCCTCCGAACAAACAATAGCAGGGGAGAGAAAGGACACACATGGTCGTCGGGAGAGTTTATCAGGAGAGCACCTGCTCCTCCCAGTGGTAGCAGCAGCGCACCTACTCTGTTCGACCCAAAGCCCCCGTACCGACACACAGGCCGCGGCCGCTCTTCCCTTTTGCTGCGACGTGGTCCTTCATCGGGGTGGAGAAAAGGGGGAGCCCAGTCGTGCGCTGTGCTTCTACTCTGCGGTGCAGGTAAGCTGACATACAGGGTTGTGATTAGGGACTTTCTGCTTCGAGGAGAGCGGATGTTGATTGTCTTTGTACGTACGCACGGTGCTAGCCCCCCCCCCTCAACCCCCCGCATGCCATTCCATCGGTGACCAGAAGTGCGTCACCTGTGTCACTCAAGTGTCTGGCACGGCTGCTACACTTTTCGTGTGCGACGTCGAAGTCGAAGTCTCTCTCTCTGGGTCTCGCGGCGACCTCGTCGCGCTCGGCCTAGCCTAGGTCAGCAGCGCGGGGCCGACGGCGCAAGCTTTACTGCAGAGTCCACCGCATTCCCCATCCACGGCGCGGGGAGGCCGGCGGTGCCCCGCGACGCCTCCTGTTCGTGCCGGTGAAGTGTGCCACAGACTATCCTCCAGCCCCCCCCCCCAACCTCACCCAGGACACGCGCACGCAGCGCAGCAGGCTGCCGAGCACCATTTAAAATCATCATATCATAATGGTCATTATCTTCATCGTACTCGCCCAACACCACCAACTCTCATCATCAGGAACTGGTTTGTCCCGCGGGGGAATTCCCGCCGATGTCTTAGTTGTTGCGGAGTGTTGTTTGTGATTCAGGGCAGCAGGGAGCGGAGGTGAATGTTCTTTTCTGCTCCTGCTCTTGGCTCGGCCTGTCCCAGCTGTGGTTCAGGCGGAGAGGTGAGGTGTTTGTCCGCTGCTCTCGCGTTTATCTCCGCGGCCGCGGCCCCCGCCGTTGCTGTGCCCGACGACGCGGGAAGGGGGGGGGGGGATGGCGGCCAGGACGCCGTTCAGGGAAGGACGGCGTGGTTCCAGTTCGCGCGATACACACGTTCCGTTTAACTGGTGGCGCGCATGGCTTCCGCATGCCTGAGTCACTCGCGGGTAAAAGTTTCTGGGAGGTCCATTACGGCTCACGTTCACGCTCCAGCGCGGCAGTCGGTGGAAGTGCGCCCCGCGCCCCACCAGCTCCACCCGTTGTCACGTCCCGTTCCGCGTCAGGGCCCCGCGGGCGGGCAGCATGCAGGATCCATCAGCAGGCCGCCGCCGAGCCGAGCACGTCCCCGTCCAGCATGACTCACGGCTCTCACGTCGTGTCGCAGCCGCTCCCGCGGGGCAGACGTGCAGACAAAGCTCATCACATGGGGCTTGGTCGGACTTGTCTCGGCGGGAAGGAAGCTGCGTGCGGGCGGCGGACCCTGCCCTACCCTGCCCTGCCATGCCATGCCATGCCCTGCCATGCCGTGCTGTGCCCTGCCCTGCCATATGCCCTGTCCAGGACGTCAACAACACGCGGGCCCGGCCTGCTGGGATGGGTCAGCGGCCCTGCCCGTGGCCCCGGCCCCCAGCAGTCCGAACCGGACCGGACTTTGTGAATCAGTGAGCTGTCGCCGTGGCCGCGGTGGGAAGTGGTGTCGCGGCACGGCGGCGGGGTCCCTGTGCTGCTGAGCTGGGGTGGCTGCGCCCGCGCTCGCCGCTCCGCTAACGTGCGTCTTAGCCTCAGCCTCGGCTTGTCAGCTCCGCAGGTCCCCCAAGGCCGCCGATGTTATTGTTGTTGGTGGTGGTCCCGCCGCCGAGGAGGAGTGTCGTGTCGGAGAGAATCACTGTGCTCGGCGCTCGGTTAGCTCCTCGGTGAGAGCGCCTAGGAGGTAGGCAAGGCGGGCCCCTTGAGCGCACCGCCGCGACCGGGTGGCCTACCCTGGCATTGACAGGGGCGCCGCTCCGCACACTCCACGCCCGCGCAGGACACGAGTACGTGAGGACTTACCCTCGCCCCTTCGCCCAACACACTGACACGAGTACTTTACTTACCCTCGCCCTTTCCCATCACAGGGCCCCGCCTTCAGAACTTCGACTGCAGGACAGCCCGCTGTGCACGCCTGCTCCACGATGAACACTGCCGCCAAGGTGGCGTGCGTGCTGGCTGCCCTGGCCGCCGCTGCGCCCGTGGGAGCCCGCCGGCCCGTCAGCGGTGAGTGTCCGAGGCCGTTGCGACAGCGGCGAGGTCCGACGCTGGAGGGTGGCTGACGACCGCAACCGCTCTCTGCTGCAGCCACGACGAGGTGCGGCGCCGCGCGGGTGGCCATCTCCGTGTCGCCGCTGATCCGCTCCAAGGAGATGCGGGTTCTGGAGCTGTCGTGGAGCTTCGAGGGGGCGCGGCCCGGTGACCAGGTGGCGCTGTACGACTACGATCCAGGTACGTGGTGTGGACCGGGCAGGACGGAACGCCGCGCCCATTCAAACTCATGTTATTGACTCACCTTATTGAATCGTGGCCGCAGTCTCGAGACGCCAGTGGGACAACAGCCGGCACCGCAACGAGCCCGTGACCGACGCTGGGGCCGCTCCCGCCGCACCCCTCAGCCCGAGCCAGCCTTTCGCCGCGCCGCCCGCCGCCCCGTATGACCCTTACGGCGGCCAGGGTGGCCAGGGGGCGCCTTCCTACCCGAGCCCGTACCCTTACAACGCGGGGGCGGTCGGCGGGGGCGGCGGTTCCCTGTTCCCGCCCGGCTACCCGCGCGACGCGTTCAGCGGCAGGGCGAGGCGGCAGGCTCAGGACGAGCCCCTCGGCGACGACCCCGGAGCCGGCCCGCCCCTAGCCGTCGTGCCCACGGACGGGCTGCGGGCTGGCTGGAGGGGCACCAGCGTGCAGGAGCGCCACGTCCCCTCCGGACAGCTGGGCTACACGTCGCGCTGCCTCAACTACTGGGCCGTGTACGAGCGCCCGCTCCCCGACAAGCAGAACCAGACCGAGGGTGAGTCCGAGCCGCCTAGAGCCGACACGTGTGTGTAGTACGTGGCCTTGTCACTTATCGCCCTGCTCCGACGCAGTCCTGGCCGTGGCCTGCCTGCGCACCAGGCCCACGTGGATGTCGGACTTCCGCACCGAGATTGGGCGGCTGCGGCTCGTCGACCTCTTCATCCCGGGCACCCACGACTCGGCCTCCATCCAAGAGGACGGCCGCAACAACTTCATCGACAGGTACACCGTCACCCAGGACGAGAGCATCCTCGGCCAGCTCATCTACGGCGTGCGCTACATCGACCTGCGCGTCGGCTTCTACTCCACCAAGGACGTGCAGTGGTGGGCCAACCACGGGCCCGTGCGTATGACGCCGCTGCACGCGGTTCTGTCGGACATCAAGGCATTCCTCGGCAACACCAACGAGATCGTCATCCTCGACATACAAAATTTCCCCGCTGGTACGTGACTTAGATTTGCTTAGTTTTTCCGTATACGCAGAGACCGATTAGATTGCTGAAAATGGACCCCTTTTCCATTGCAGGTTTTGGAAAGGACAACAAGATCCACCTGCGGCTGGTGCACCTGCTGGAGACGGAGCTGGGTGACGTGATGGCGTACCGCGACCAAGGCCCGGGCTGGGTGTCGAGGCTCGAAGACTTCTGGACCTCCGGGCGGCGGCTCATCGTGGCCTACGACAAGGAGGACGTCCTGCCCGTGTCGACCAAGCTGTGGCCGGCCGTGCGCCAGTTCTGGGGCGACGCGCAGACCCCCGACCAGCTCAACCGCTACGCCTCGGCCATCATGTCGCAGCAGTACCTGCGCGGCTTCGCCTGGGCGCTCATGGCCGAGCTCACGCCCAACGCGAGGCTCATCGCCACCAACCCGACCGGCTCGCTGCGCCGCCTCGCGCACACCATCAACCGCAACGTGACGGCGTGGGCCGAGGGCCCCTGGGGCGAGGTCATGAACACCCTCGCCGTCGACTTTGTCCGGTCGACGGGCGTGGTGGAGGCCGCCCTCTGGCACAACCTGCGCCGCGGAGGGGTCGACGTCTGCAACGCATACAGGCTACTCGACTCGGTGTAACAGCACTCGCCTCGCCTCGCCGCGGGGCAGGGAGATGTGTAAAGAGGCTGTTAAGTGAAAAAAACACCCACAAAAACAAACAACAAAAAACTAAGTATTTGGTGCTTTTGCATTAAGGGCTGTCAACATTTTCTGTGATATAAATTTAAGTGTGAAAGAAGGGACTACCGTGTAAGTTATTATGTAATGACAAATTTAATATTAAAATGTAAATTTTCCAATTTGCTATGATGTGTAGTTGTTTCCTTTACTTCATGCTACATAGGTTAAGGAGGATAGGACAAAAATTGTACAGAGTACACTTTCTGGCGCCAATCAACTTTATTCTCAGAAATAAACACTACATTTCAAAGATAGGGCAACAAATAGTATCCGTAAAAATCTAACATCTTGACCAGATATAAAACCTTAATCAAATAAATAGTTGATGGTTGTTTGCCAAGAGAATCACAACACCACTTTATTATTCTTTTGTACTGTATATGTGCTGATGGCAATGATACACGTCACTAAAATAAAATTATATACCAGGAGTGAGAATCAATTTACATTTCATGTGTTCCAGGATTTTAAACAAAATACTGCTTGCTTTAAATATTCGGAAGAAAAAAACAACAATCAAATACAATAACATTTCATGTTTGAAAAGAAAAGAAAAATCTACCATGGACATGGATGATATTAGAAAATAAGAATTATTTACAATGAGCTGCAAATCTTAAGATGCCTCTTTGCAAATTTCAGTTTAAAAATTATTTGAATAAAAAATTAGAACCTATCTGATACAGGCACATGTTCATGGTAACATTTACTAGTCGTCATCCTTAGGGAATAAAGCCTAATAGTAAAAGTAATAAGCTGTATAATATGACCAAAAGTCCTTCCGCACTTTATATGGGGAATGCTACTGGCATAATTCTAACTGCTAAACACACGCAAAATTAAAAAAAAAAGAAAAAAAGAAAGGAAGTAGTGAATGCCAACTACTCTGACAGCACAGAGGGAATGTGATGAGCCTTGAAAAAGCCTTTGAGTGACAAAGCAAAATATGAACACGTAACAACCGATACTAACAATTTTCATGACTAAGATAACACACCTTGACAACTTTCTTTGGTGGAATGACAAAAAAAAAAACTAAATCACACAAGAAAAATCACTATGGTGCACAAAACAGCCGTTTACATTAGACGAAAGACTTTAAAATGTTCAGTAAAATACAATGTCATGTCAAAATAATGTGTTCAAAGGACTAAGGCCAACTATATACACCAACTCCAAAATATTCAATTGAAATTGACATATAAAGTTGGCTCAAGACTACATAATCTTTTAGACATAGCTAAGACTTGAAAATTTATGTACTCCTAGAGTTAAGCGTGAATCTAAAAGAATTACAACTAGGTTATCTCATATTTGAAAGAAATAACAATCATAACCATTGTCAAATGATTGAATAATTAATTAATGCGTTGATACTTGAAAATACTATGCCGTATGCCATCATGTAACTCTTAAACAAACAAACAAAAAAAAAATACAAAAAAAATAGCCCAATGGCATTACTTCTAATTTATAATATTCAGAATATCTTGATTCCAAAGAGAGCTCACACCTATGCCAGGAGATGATTTCTTAGGAGATGAAGGCTTCATTTTCTTATTAGGTGGGCTCTGCATTGCATGGGGTTGGGGTGTCTTTGGTAAAGCCAGGGAGCTATTTTCAACCACCTTGTCTTCCATATCTTCATCAACACTCATTCCATTATCTTCAACTTTAGAGAGTACGGGTCTAACTTTTTTCACAATACCACTTTGAAGTAATTCTCCATGCAGATTTTCAGTTTTCTTTTCACTTGAATTTGCTTCAACTGAAGACCGCCGACCTTTCATGATCTTCAAACCTTTTACAGCCCTTTCCACTTTATCAGGTACATCTTCTTCAAACCTGGCACCTAATGCCTGTTCTCGAGCTAACGAAAGACGACGATTAGGAGGCATTACTTTCAATCCCTTTGCCCTTTGCATGGCAAAGATCTTTGAAGCTGACAATTTCTCTGAGCTTCCGGATCGTGGGCTTCCAAACCCACCTGGAGGGGACTTCAAGGAACTAGGAGGAGACTGGTAACTGTCTGGAGATTTTAATGATTTGGGTGCTAGTTTGTGAGAATTTGGAGATTTCAATGGGTTAGGGGAGAAGTGGGATCCAACTGGGGATTTCAGTGGATTTGGAGAGAAACGAGAACCAGCAGGCGACTTCAAAGTATTTGGAGAGAAAGTTTGGCTCTTAGCATCTGAAATCTCACCAGTAGTACTGTCTGCAGTGCGTGATCTAACAATACCTAAACTGAGTCGCTTTCCTCTACCACGGGAGCTAGTTTTCTTAGGGAGAATTTTTGGACTATCCATTCCATCATCAGAGGCAAAGCCTGTAGCTAAATCTTCAAGTTCATCCATTAATCCAACTTTGTCAAACTTGGTATCTTGCTGCTTCTTTGAGGTAGTTTTCTTGACATAGCTGACTTTGTCAGGTTTGTCTGGAGTGGAATCTTTCATGCTTTTTAGGTTTAAGTTTTGAGAATTCACATAATCCATATTATGGGCTGGTGGTTTTCGTGCTCTCTTACTTACAGATCCAGGGGAGGCTTCATTAGAATGGTCTTTATCTGATTTGGGACTACTTAATTTAATTCTTTTCACGGATGGAGTATTTCGTGACTGAAGTGGTTCATCATCCATGGGAGCAGGTGTTTGGACCATGAATTTGTCAAGTGAAGGGTCTGCATCCGGTATTTCATCTTTTGAGGAATTGTCTAGGACCGAAGAGGTTATCTGAGACTCTTCATCCTCTACAGCCTTGATGCCATTATTAATCTCATTTAGATCGTCCTCTATCCTCTGTGAGTATTCTTCTTTGACGCCCTCCTTTTTCACCCGTATTGAAGAGTTGCTTTCTTCAGCAACAATAATTTTCCTCTTTCGTCCTCTTTTAGAAACACCCGGGCTTTTACCTTCAGGGCTGACCTTAGATATTCCCTTGAAAGATTTCCTTGATTTGAGAGCTTTGAGGTTAGTGTTAAATCCGTTTTTCACACTATGATTGTCTTCATCACAAGATGCTGATGCTTCTTTGAGAGCACTTGTGTGCTTATCCTCACTATTGACAGAGGATTCACTAAAAGCATCTTCTAGATCAGAACCATTTAGCTTTGTTTTCAGACCCTCCTCTTCAGATGTAATTTGTTCCCTTCGACTGCGACGTCTAGCACGCTCTTCCTCATATAGCTTTTTCTTCTCTGTATCAAGCTTCATTTTCTCTTCTTCCTTTCTTTTCTTTTCTTCATCTCGCTTGTTCTTTATTTGCTTTTCCTTTGAGAGAGGATTCTGCAAGAGTAACAGAGAAGTTAGAATTTAATAATATTTAACATTTAATAGCATAAAAAATACTCTCTCATGGAAAATAAAATACCTTTTGATGAGTTTTACAGATGTCACCATGAAGAGGATCAGTGATCAAATTATTTCCCAAATGCGCTGGGCAATAAGACTCTGTGCAATAACTGCAAAATCGCTGAGTACGTTCCGCACAAACATTACAGCGATGTCTGGGGCAGAGCCACTTGCCTTTGGGAAAAAAAATCAAGGTGAGTATATGATACCAAAGTCATTAGAAAAGATTACTGTAGAATACAGCCTTTGAAATTACCTTTAGGTACAGTTGTGCGTCCAATACATGCTAAATGATACTTTGAGGCACACTCCTTATTGTGGCATGAGTACAATGTTCCCGCTTCTTTATCAGCATCACAAATCAAACAAATATCTTCAATCAAGTTACGGAGTCTTGGCTTACGTCTCTTCTTTTTGCCTGATGCCTGATCCTTAGCATCCACAATGGGAGCCTAAAAAAATATTGAAAAGTTTAAGTATCAATGATGATAAAATAGTTTTGACAACCCTAAACACTTCACAAGATCATACCTTGGTTTTCTTTGCACCGATGAAGCCTGAGCAAACAGATGTGCCACACTGGCAAGGTTTCTTCTCATTTCCTTTGCTTTCTAGATTGTAATTGAAAGTTAATTCTGTACCAGCAGGTAGATCAGCGAGAGCAAATAGACCAACACGTGTGTCCCCAAAAACAGTCCACTTTTGAGTTTCACAGTTAGGTTCACATGAATGATTCATAAACCTGAAAGAATTTCGTTAATTTAAGAAAAGCAGGTTTAAAAGAGGGGGGTTAATGTTTTCATGCTGTGGCGGACACAGAGAGTTTCTCGTCACATACCTTGAAACATTGCCTTTAGGTCCTGCATCTATGATGCGATTACTGTCGATGGTAAGGAAGTAGTAGTTTTCATCTTTTTCTTCATGCTTTTGAAGAAGCCTTCTCTGGTACTCCTCATCATCAATAACTTCTCCAACATATTCAATAATAAAGGATCCTAAGATAAAAAATAAATAAAAATAGTTTCAATCACATACTTTTCCTGTGGTTGTTGAAAATAAATAAAGGAATGCACCAAGTGATTGTACTACTGCATCAGTCAAAAGTAAATGAAGAAACGTACTACAAAACTAAATTAAAGAAAAAAAAAATACTGTACCTTTCTTCACATCTTCCAAAATTTGCAGGCCCCAGCCCCGACCTTCAGTCCAATATGGTGCAAGAGAAGGATAGATGCGCTTTTCAAAGTACTGGTTTTCACAATTTTCTCCGGCAGGACATGTTTTAGGGTCACATTCCACCATCAGGATTCTGAAAAGATAATTAAATAATTAAAAACTAATAAAACAATAAAAGAAAAGAAAAAATTACCAGATTTTAATTAGCTTACCGATTCAAGCATTCAGAATCTGGACTACAGGGGTGTTCTGAGTCAGGACTGCATTCGCAGGGTGAAATATTTGATGTATCAAATTCAAGTATTTTCACAGGCCCAACAGGCTTATTTGTCTTGATCTTAACATATTGTGGAGGTTTCTAAAGGGAGAGAGGCATATATCATATCTTGGTAGAGTATAGGTTGTGGAGAAATAATTTTGTAAACTTGTTGAACTTGTTTCAATTTCTCAAAATTAAATGTAAAACAATGTGATATCTCACCATAGGGTTAGATTTGCTTTGTGACTGGATTGTAGCTCTGAGTTCTTTATGAGCTTTATGCAATTCATTGGCTTCCAGTAATCCTCGCTGGTAAGAGCTATCCATTCCAGTCTTTGTTCCTTTCTTCCCATCTTGAACAGAGTCCTGAAATAAAATGATTAAGTTAATAATTTATCATTTACACTTAGCTTACTATTGTACCAGCAGGTCCAAACTACATGTCAGTCAACCTCACCCCTTCATGATAAACAAAGCAGCGTCCCCTCTCAATCCAATAATGATCTTTTGTTCCCAAAAACCGAACAGCAAATTCGCCCATTACATGCGGTCGGCTTTGAACAAGAACAGGTACTTCACTAGGAAACAGAGCCAAAGCTGGCCACCACCTACAATAGGAACATTTTAAATTACAATACTGTTACTCTACAGGCTAGATTAGGTATGACGAGTTTAAAACATTACCTGTAGTTCCCAAGTTTAACCCAAAGAACTTCGTTATATAATGGATATCTACCAGTTTCACAGTCCTCACAAATAAAGCTACCAGTTGGGGGTTTAATTTTCAAGCAATCTACATGGAAGGATGATGGGCACAAATCACAACAGATCAGGGACCCTCCTGAAAGAGAACAAGAGCAAGAAAATTAGATTAGTACTTGTGTGCTATCAAGGTCACTGCAATATGTAACCAATGGCACTTCAGCTTAAAATCACATACCTATGGAACAAATAAAGCACCATGATGCATTGATATGTTGACTGGCTTTCTTAGGAGGTTCATAATGTCGAGGGCAAATCATTTGGGTGGCAGTAAGAATTTTACTACCCGCAGGAACACAATAGTTACCTAAAAAAAGTAGGGATTAGATACCAAACCAAATACAAGTAGAAACAGATACAAATGAAATTAAAAACAATTACCATAATGGTAAGACGTAGGGCAGCGAATGCAGCGCACAAGTTTCTCATGGGCAAATCGGCCTCTGTCTCCTCTTGGGTTATCAGATACACATGTATGACACACGTGTTGGGGACAAGTCAGATGCTGGAGGACCCCCTTGCGGGAATTGTAAGATGCTTGGGGCCACAACACCTTCAAACATTCTACATGGTAATGTTTCCCACAGTGACCTGCACAACAAAGCACATAATGAGGAAAACTTAACAATGACCTCAAACAATCATGGAATCATGGATTCTAAAATACACTAACCAACAGAACAGCGTGTCCGAGTGCTGTCCTCCCCAGATGGAACAGATGCTTGGCCACATACGAAACAGAGGGGTGTCCTCAGCATAGCACAATCTCCACATCTAAAATCTGTGATACTAGTATTGCTGAGAACTGGCCCATTCTGGTCATATTCCTCTTCCTCAGACTCACTCTCTTCTTGATTCATGATGGCTATTTCAGGGACTACAGATGTATCACCCATAATCATTCTCAACACAGCTGCATCGTCAGATACCTCAGGAATAACATCTCCGTTTGCATAGTCAAGATCACTGTCAGACTCCTCCTCTGCATAAATTTTCTTGTGGCGTTTCTCTGCCTTTGATTTCTGAGTGACCTGAACGGTGATGTTAGACTCAAGTTCAACTTCACCCTTCTTCTTTCTGCCACGTTTCTTGGGCTTCTCATCATCATCAAGTAAGCGGTACTGTCCAATAGAATTATCAGCACCTCGTGCACACTCAACATGGAACACACCAGCACACACACCTCGACATCTGACAGTATTTCCAGGCTTTTCACAGTTTTGACAAACTCTTTCCATTTTAAAGCCTCGGAATAGATTTATCTTCTTCTTAGCTATAACGACAGATGTTTCCTCCCCTGTAGCCTCCTTAGCCGAATCCGATGAAGCAACGGTAGCAACTTCCTCCTCAACACCTGTATCATCTCTTCCATCATCTTCCTCATCTGATCCAGATTCTACCTCTTCATCTGAATCGTCATCAACCATGGCAATGTAGCTGAAAAGAGTGAAGATTTGTGAGTTAGGATGAGACAAAAGTACTTATAAAAGATATCAATCTAACATAATAAGATATTTTAAGTCAGCTAACACCAGTTTATAGAGTTACTTACTTGGATTTTTCATCTTCATCTTTCCTCTCCCACAAAAGACGCAAGTATTTCTCAGCATCTGTATTATCCATTTCAGGGTGATCATCTAGTATACGGTCTAGATTATTTTCAGAATATAAAGCAAATGCCTTGTCTTCAGAACTTTGCTTGATTTTCTTCTTTCTTTTCTTTCGTTTTTTACCATTTGTTTTCCAATCTTGATCATCATTTACATCCCCATTTGTGTCCTAGAAAGTAAAATAAAACAAATAAGTGAGGACATGTTGGTGGCAACAGAAGAGGTAGGTAAAAGACAAATATTTATTACCTGATTAGAATCAGTGTTAGCTATCAGCTTCCTCTTGCGACCACGACCTGGGCCTGGTGTGCTCTTAGCCACAGGCTCAGGTGTATCACAATCAGTTTGATTTAAAGAAATGTCAACTTTACGAGGTCGGCCACGCTTTTTTTTCTCAGTAGGAGGTGATTCAGCTTTTAATGTCTTTTTTTTCTTTTTAGTTCCTGGTGTGGGACTGCCAGCAATTTCACCATTATCTCCTTCATCCCCATCATCAAGTCCGTCTGCATCATTCTCATCAGAGTCTTGTGAATCATCAGCTGTCTTTGATTTCCTCCCTTTCATTTGACGCATGTTATCCAAAAAGGCATCCAGTCTCTCATCTCTGAAAATTATTATGATTAACATTTACAGACACATAAATGGTTTTAATTTCCTAGAAGACTGCTATTGAAAAATGTAAAAGTTACCTGGTAAGGCCCATAACTGCTTCTGCTTCTTTAACTGCTACTTCCCACCTTTGTTTTGTGTTTGGCTTCACACAAAATCCAGAGTAATACTTGGTATTATTCTTTTTAATCTGAAATAGACAGAAACTGCATGACAGCAACAGCAAAACTGAAATTACATTAAAAAAGGCATAACATTTGACAGTGGTACCTCATTGGTCAAGTTGGCAGCTTGTAATTCAAAATCAGATAGTCCTAGAAATCTAATGACCATGGATGATGGCACCCAACTGCGTTTCCCATTGTCACCATAAAATAAAACATGGTAGGACAGGCGTCCTCGTCCTACAATAAATGCAATAAGGAAAAAAGTTAAAAACCACAATAAGATAGTAATGAAACCTAGAGAATTAAAGTAAAATTGCTAGGAGTACTAACCTGTCAGTTTGAAATACTCTTTATTAACAGGGTCATTGATGATAACGCAGGGCCAAAATGGATGGTGTCCTAATCTACCCCATATGAGGTCCCCTGGTTCATATTCAGTGGACACATCTTCTTCAGCAATACCACTCCCTCCTGAGGCATCTGCAGCAGCCTTCAAATCGCCAGCTGTGTCAGTGTTTGATGGTACATCAGGGTCTGCAGAGAATGAATCTTCTAAAGATCCATTTAAAGCACCCTCTGTTTCCATAGCTTCATCTTCATCTGCAGGGGGACTGGATAGTGTATCATTACTTTTCCTGTCTTTCTTGGGCGATTTTCCAAGAACAGCATCAGTGGGTAGAAAGTCTTCAGAATCAACCTGGAATATTGTAAAGATTGATGGAAATGTAGCTCTTTCTCAAGTCAAATAGTCAGTAAAACTCATAATGTACAAACCTTTGGTCGACGCGTTCTTCCAGAACGACTTGTTGGATCTGGACTATCAGCTAACACAGCTTGTACTGCACTTGATCTCCTCCTTTTCTTGACTTGCTGAGGAACTGGACTTGAATCCTCACCTTCTAAGGATTTTAATTCTTCCTTTTGAATATTTGTTTGGTCATCTGGTAAAGTTTCCTCATGCAAGGAATTGTCACCATTCATCACATCATCAGGATCTTCTCCCTTAGAAGACATGCTACTGTCCCTTTCGCCATAAATGACGCTCTCTTTAATTGACACATCCATCTTGTCTCCACCGGATGTATTATGAACAACCTCACTTTGGGAGCCGGTACTTTTATCCATCTCCCTTTGATGGTAATCAATGTATAATCTTTAAAATTGGCATTGACAATGTGTCTTTGACAACATTATCTACAAATCTGTAATAAAGGAGAAAGCTGAATTTTAGTTCAAGAACCTTTTCCTTTTTTGGAATTTTTTTTGCACTGAGTACAAAACATAATAGATGTAGCCAGAAATTCATTAAGTTGTAGTAAGTTCGCAACAAGAAGTGCTTCATTTCCAAAGCAATGCATTCAGCCGGAAACAATTCAAAGAAATACAGAGAAAGTAAACTTATTTCAAATAAATTTAACAAATTTGGAAAACAGAATGGAAAATTATAACAAAGCATTAAAATTCAGAGGTTTTAATTTAAGAAAATTTACGGAGACTGATGCAAATACATATAGGCATAGTTTAGGCCTATCGTAAAAATAAACCAAGAGAGGTAATGACAAAGCCAAAATTATACAGATGACGATATCAAAAATTGTTGTTCTTGACAGCTTCAAAATATTTTAAGAGAGATCTAAGTATACCAAGTGATGATATGAGACCTTGGGTGAATAAACGCTAGCAAGATTTAACTGGCAACAACTGAAGTAATAGGACTGTAGAAACACACAACTCGTACTAGGTTATGGAGCAGTTTGCATGTGGGGTAACCGCTTCCCCGCAGGGATCGGACGGCATGATTAGAGTTTGAAAAGACAGCAAGCTCGGACGAAATAGAGGGCTGACGACCGCATAAGAAAGCATTTACAGCTGCCGCGAGAAAACTGTTGTTGTTTACTGCATGCGACTCTCACAACGCGAAATCGGCGGCGGTATCGAAACAAAAATATTCACGGGACTTGAAATTGTCAGGGCTGTTGCATCATTCACTGATGTTTGGACTGTAATTAAAAAAATTAACTTCTCATCGCTCACCAAGAAAAACGGCGAATACTTACAGAAAAGAAACAGTAACTCGGCGGACATTTTGTGTTTTTCTTCTGAGTTGATATGTATGTATCCAATCGCTCTCCGTGCGTTGACTATCCGTTAGGAATACAACCAACAGCGTCCGTCAACAAAACAGTAGTCCGATACAAAGATTTTTGAATCTTTGATTAACGAAAGAACAGTTACGATCATACACAGGAACACATATATCAAAATCAATCACTCTAAACA